TCACCGAGACCGGGACTGACTACGGCCCGACCTCACCCCCCGACCCCACCTCCCGAGAGCGGGACCGATACCGTCCTACCCGACAATCCTCTCCCGGCGCCCCCATCCGCTGCCCCTACTCGCGACCCACTCTTGGGGACCCCCCTACTACAACCCCCCTTTGGGCCTCTCCTCACTCTGATCCCTCCCTTTGGGGTCTTCTTTTGAGGGCTGGTCTCCTCCTTTCCTCTGTCCCCCTTTATTGCCCCCCGGGGCAGGTACTGGCCCTCCTCGTGGTGTCTGGGGAATTGCGTGCGATACTGGAAATGGAGCGCCGGGATTTGGGGCACACTGGGAATGAAGGGCACTGGGAGAGAATGGGGACACTGGGGACAAGTGGGACACCAAATACTGGTCGGGGGGACAGGTTGGGGGGATACACCAGAGATAGGAGTAGATACACTGGGGACAGCGGGGACAATGGGAATAGGTTTGGGGACCCTGGGAATTGGTGGGGGTCACACTGGGAATGGGTTGTGGGGACACTGGAAATTGGAGAACATATGGGGTCACCACTCTTCCCTCTTACCATGGATCTGGGGACACAGTCCTGACTCTGCCCCCTGTCCCCAGAACCCTCCGGGCCCCTTCCTGAGTCCTGGACTTTGCTCCTTGCCCCTTGGCGATAAGGCCAGAGGAAAATTCCATCCTGGGGAGGGGAGAGAGAGGAGCTGGGAGAGTCTAATCCCGGGAGAGCTTGATCCAGGTGATCCTGATCCCAGGAAAAGCTTCTCCTGGGAGCACCTAATTCTGAGACCACCTGATCCCAGGATCACCTCATCCCAGGAGAACCTGGTCTTGGCAGCACCTGATCCTGGAAAATTCCAGCTGGCAGAGGTGAGAGGAGCTGGGAGCACCTGAGTCCAGAGAGCCTTATCTCTAGAGAAAGCTATCCTGGGAACAACTAATTTTGTGATCATCTTGTCCCACAATAACAGAATTCTGGAATCACCTTATTCCAGGAGAATTTGATCCTGAGAGAACCTTATCCAAAGAGCACATCCTTCCAGGGAGAAGCTCATCCAGGGAGATCCCAGGAGATCCTTATTCCACAATCACCCCATTCTGGGACCACTTTATCCAAGGAGAACCTTGCCCCAGGATCACTTTATCCCAGGATTATCTCCTTCTAGGAGAAGCTCATCCTGGGACCCCCCCATCCCAATACCTTCTGCTAATCTCAGGGCCAGGGTCCCTCCTGGTGCATTTCAGGGTGTCCCTGTGTTCTCCTGCCATGGCTGAGCCCTCTGGGATTGGGGACAGCATCCCATTGGATGATCCTGGTCTGGACATTGCCGCTGGGGAGGAATTCCTGCAGGAAGTGTTCCAGATCCTGTTGGAGGAGGGCGTGCGGAAAAGCATGGACGTGACACAGAAGGTTGGGATACCGGAGCACTCGGGGGGCTGGGGTCCCCAATCCCACCCCATCACATTCCCATTTCCAGTCCCAATCCCATTCCCAGTCCCCACAGGTGTGTGCCTGGAACGAGCCCCCTGGGAGGGGGTGGGGTCCTCAATCCTTCCTTATTGCTTGTCCTATTCACAGTCATTCCCCGTCCCAGTCCCAATCCCATTCTCATTACCGGTCATTTCCAATCCAATTCCCAGTCATTCCCAGGCATGTGACTGGAAGCAGACATGGAAGGGGGTAGGGGTCACAACATTGCTCCTTTCCCATTCCCATTCTGAATCCCAGTTCCAGTCCCATTCCCAGTCCTGTTCCTAACAGAAGTCCCACTTCCAGTACTGCTCCAATAGCCAGTCCCATTTCCAATCCTGTTCTCAGTCCCATTCCCAGTTCCATTCCCAGTCTTATACTCTGAACAGGATTGGGAGTGGGACTGGAGTTGGGAGTAAGTCCCAGTTGCAGTTGCATTTCCAGTCTCATTCCCAATCTTGTTTTCATTTCCAGTCCCATTTGCAATCCCACTTCCAGCCCCGTTCTCATTCCCATTCCCCATTCTGCTCGCAGTCCCGGTGCCAGTTCCATTCCCATTCTGGCTGCCGGTTCCAGTCCCGATCCCATTCCCAGTCTTGTTTACATTCCCAGTCCCATTCTCAACGCCATTCCCAGCCCATTTCCTCTGCGGTTTCCAGTCCCGTTCCCAGTCCCTCCTAGTCATTCCCAGCGCATTCCCAGGTGTGTGACTGGAAGGAGCCGCAAGAGCTGCGGGAGTTGCTGGATCTGGAGCTCCGGAGCGACGGGGAGGGGCGGGAGCGGCTCCTGCAGCGCTGCCGGGATGTGCTGCGCCTCAGCGTCCGCACCGGTGCGCTCCCAGTACACACCAGTGCACGCCGGTACACAATAGGACAGCCCCAGGGCAGGCCCGGTGTCTCCCAGTTCAGCCCTGCACAAACTCCCAGTTTGACAAGGCACCTACCTCCTACTTCAGCCCAGCCGGTCCTGTTTCAGCCCCAGCGGTTCCCAGTGTTGGCCCGCGGTGCCACCCAGTGTCAAACGTTGTGGTGTCTGCCATATGCCCCCTGATCTTCCGTGTCTCCCTTGACCGTTCCTGTGCCCCCCCATTTCCCCCCACATCCACTCTTTGACAC